ATCAAAGTTTAGAAGAACCTTCTCATGTTCTGCTCACTTGGGAAGATTCAATTGCCTTTATAAGTGCATTTGGGATTTTATTGAAACAGCTTGATCTCATGGCATTCGGACATTAATTTAGAGCTGTATTACTCAACCTTGGCAACTTGAAGATTCTAGGAGTTGACATCCACACATCTTCAAGTTATCAAGGGTGAGTAATACAGGTTTAGATTCCGGCTTCATTTATAACAAAGCAGAGAAGATGCTTTCCAGGGCACTAGGCCTTCCTACGAACAATACTAACCTCTGATAACTAGGAAGAAATGACAGAAGTCACAGAAACATTATTCCCAGGGTCAACAGTTATTGGAAATCTCATACAGGTAGTCTTGACCTATGACCATGTGCTTAATGACCATTCAAAACTATGACGGTGTGAAAAAAATTGTCTTACTGCAGCCCTCGCACTTATGATCCGGCAAGTACCATATTTTTGGAGTATAAGATGCACCGGAGTATAAGACGCACCAAGATTTTGAGAAGGCAAATTAAAAAAAAAAGGTTTTGCATTCTGCAGACCTCCCCAAAATGCCCCATTTTTTGCTAAAACGGGTCTTGTTTTTTTCAAAAAAAGGACATGAATAGCCTTTAGGAGGCTTGTAGAGTGTTCCTGGGGAGGTGGGCCCCAAAAATGAGCAAAAAATGGGCCATTTTTTGCAAAAACTGATCCGCTTTTTGTCAAAAAAAAGGGCATGCATAGGCTTTAGGAGGCTTATAGAGTGCTGCTGGGTGCTGGGCAGGGGGGCAAAATTGAACAAAAAGTGCCCCATTTTCACTCATTTCTGCCCTCCCTAGCCCCCAGGAATTCACTCTAAGCCTTCTAAAGACTCTGCACGTCCATTTTGGTGAAGGGGGTGGGGTTTGGGGAGGCAGAAAATGCTGTATTCAGTGTATAAGACACACCCAGATTTTCAGCCTCTTTTTTGAGGGAAAAAGATGCATCTTATATGCCGAAAAATACGCTATTTACGCCAGTTGCAGCACCTTGATGTGTGTAAATGCCATTTGTAACCTTGAAGGGGGCTTCCAGCAATCAAAGTCAATGGGGGAAAACCATATTTGCTTAATGACAATGGTGATTCACTTAACAACTGTGGCAAAAAGGTCATAAATCAGGGGTGACTTACTTAATGACAGCATCGCTTAGCAACAGATGTTCTGGTCCCATGTGTGGTCATTTGTTGAAGTCTACTTGTATTATTTTTATGAGGTGACTGCTCTTCTTTCAAATTTCTTTCTAATGCATATACCTCTTATGATGGTTTCTCCAATTTGGAATTCTCCAGCTACATGAGGATTATAACTTTCAGCATGCTGTAGTCCCAAACACATGGAAGATACTAGTGAGAAAAAAACTATTTAAACCTTTCTGGATGTATGGTGACTACAGCTTCCTAGAAAAATCTCCTTTTCTGTCTCACCCAGAAACACTCCCAAAAAGAAAATAGATTTGGCTATTGTGGAAGGATTGGATGATAAAAAGCCATAATTAATGCCAGTAAATTCCTAATATTAGTGCAAAGTTCAAAATATTTTAATCCTGAGTTGGATTTCAATTTCATTATAATTTTTCAGAGGATTGAGACTTTGTTTAAAGTATATTAAAAGAATATTCACTGCTAATAATACCCAGTATTACAAAGGTCTTTAGCAAATCTGATGGAAATAAATGTATTCCCAGTGAAATTAGCATAATATATCTGAGTTATAGTTTAAGCATAAAAATGCTAATATGTATTTCAAAAATTAATGGGTCCTCATTTATAATATTGAATAAAAGCAGAATGCAATAAAACTGGTTAATTGCATATACTGATTTATATCATATGCTAATAAAATCTCTTTTCTTTATGGCTGTTTTTAATTATTTCTTTTAAATATGGGAGGTCAATCAATATCTAACATGAATGAAGTTTGATTGTTAAATTTGGACTAAATGATCATTCCTTTTTGTTTAATTAGAGATGGAGCTCTCGCCTCACAATCAGGAGGTTGTGAGTTTGATCCTAGGTAGAAGCATATGTAGGGTCTCCTGCTTGGGCAGGGGGTTGGACTAGATGACCTGCAAGGTCCCTTCTAACTCTGTTAATCTGTTAAATTAGTGTCTTCTATGGAATAATTTTATTCTTGGTACAACGACCTCTGGATGCTCAAAAATGGGGGGAAATGGAGGTGAGACTGTTGTAAAGGAAGTAGGATTATTTCCAAGTAGGGGAAAAATGCAATAATGCAGACCCAACCATGTCTGCAAGAAGGCAGGGAATATCCTCACCCAATTTGATAATAGGTGTGTATATATGCAAATTATGTAGAATTCTGAAGATAGGAGGAAAAAATCCTATCGAAAGGCCAAAGAAACAAAAACAACATGGAAGGCATTTTTGTTTTTGTTCAAATATTTCTAAATATGGAAAAAGAAACAAAATAAGCATGCTTCAAAATGTATATACCATTGGGAGCTGTGGGATGATTATAATATGGGCTTTGTGGTACATAAGCTGTTTTATAGCTAATTGCAGTATGAGCCTATACATATTCCTCAGAAGTAAGGCCCTTTTAGTTGAGTGGACTTACTTTAAGGTAAGCGTATGCCTGCAGCCCTAAACAACAGGGCACCTTAACACTAATATTAAGTGCCCTTCTTGGGTGCAAGATTCATGAGTATAAGAGTCGCACTTTAAAAAAATCCTATTGTTTTAGAAGCAGTTTCTATCTGAAATGCTACACTTAACTAGTTTTGTGTTGGCTAATTATTTCATTTGTATGAATTCTTAGCAAACGGATCAGTCACAGTTTTATTTATTTATTTTTGGCATTAGATCTGTGCTTTGTGACTACCAGCCACCCTTTAAACGTTGTATTAAAAAATCAGGGACTTAGGCTGTGTGTAGGGGGATCCAAAAAATAAGATGGTGGTATGGGAGAGTGGTAGAAACCATCATTTGACTTTTTTTGAGTGTCTTTCCCCTTCTAGATGCCCCTGCATTTGGTTTCTCCTTCCTCAAGAATGATTTCCATCACTGTAAATGTTCTTGGTACCTTTCAGACAGCTATCCAAATCTTAACCAAGTGCCTGTTTAACTACCTTGAAATCTTAGCAGGAAAATAGGCACATCTTTTTTTTTTTTTACTTAACAGCTGAAAACTAGGTCACTTTTCTTCCTAACCCGTGGAACAAAAGTAACACAGCACAAAATTTGTCACAGTATATTCTATACCACAGCAGCTGCATGGTATGACACTGCACTGAAATCTTGGCTCTCAATATCTTTACCGTTTACCAATTATACTAGCTGTAAACCTTAAGTGTTTCAGCATGTCTCTTCCATTCCTTTTCACAGTTCTAATAGTTCTTTTATTTTCAGGGAGAATTTAAACCTTTTTTTTGTTGTTGTTGTTCTTACAGTTCTTCACTTTCTACCACAGGCCGGGAGGGAGAGGGAAAGCGTGCTGGATTCTCAACAGTGGAGAAAGCGGAGAAAATGTCGAGTCCTTGTCCTGTGAGATGTGCATACCGGGTGCTGCTTGAGCGAAACTTGATTGGCTGAGATATCTGTTGATGCCACTGAGCTGGAGCAAAAAATAAAATAAAATGGCATGAGTATAGGATATATGACTATTGAGCATCTCTTTTAGGTTATATATAAAGGCTGTAAAAAGAGTTATCCCTAGTTTGTATGTGAGAAACCTAAAACAGATTATTGAACTGTGTGCTAAATTCCCCTTGGGGTTGCTCCAAGAACTTTAGGTAGCTGGAATAAAGTGAAATTTCCAATACTATTTTAATATATTGCTATCAACCTCTAACGCCCTAAATGTTTTTGAGCCTAAAAATTTATTTCAGCGTCTCTCTTGGCATGCACTAGATGGCCCCTTGAAATCTATGGAGTGCTGAGTCCTCAGGGCTATTATCTAAGCAAGGTTCTCTCCCCATTGATGTTCCTAATAGTGTGGAACATCTCGCCTTCAACGGTGCATCTTCCCTGTTCAATTTCATAAACTCTTAAAGAACACTTCTTCTTCTAGAATTTTGGTTCCCCTTAATACCTTTGCTCCTGACTGCCAGGAAGAATTTCATCATATAGTATTCATTTTTTAATGGTTTTGTTGTCATATTTNTAGGACAGCGTCAACTCTGTATTGGGAAGCGTCACAAGCCAGAAGTAGAGCCAAGTTTTTGTCTAATGTGAGAGGACAGCATTAGATGTCAGCAATTGCTTAACTGCTTTGAATGCTGCAGCTTCTCTTCGGCCCCAGACCCATGGAGCTTTCTGGTCTAGAAGGCGATGAAGTGGTTCAACCACAGAAGCCTTGTGGGGCAGGAACAGTGCATAGAAATTTAGCAACCCAAGGAAGGCTTGGAGCTCGGCTTTTGTTGTTGGAGTCGGGGCCTCTAGGATCGCTTTGGTCTTGGCTGCAGTTGGATGGAGACCAGTGGCATTGGCGAGATACCCCAAGAACTCGACCTGGGGTACAGCGACTTTGCACTTCTTGCATTTGACTTTTAAACCTGCTTGCTGGAAATGGTGGAGGACTGCACGAAATCTGGCCATAGGTTTGGAACAGCTGGTTGCAGAGATGAGGACGTTGTCAAAGTAGGGGACAATGCCTACTTTGAGTCCATGGAGCAACTGCTCCATCAAACTTTGAAACAAGTCTGGGGCAATGCTGACCCCAAACTGCAAAATTCTTTGACGAAATTGTCCAAGTCAGTTTGCTGGATGTTGTTGATTCTGCCCACCTGAAGGCCAAGGGATTCGAACCAATCAAGACCCAGGAGGCTAGGCAACGCTCCTTCTATGACAATTAGGGAAAACCTCCCTGAGAATCCCTTGAACTGCACCATGAACTTACTAATGCCAATGACGGGAATCAGGTTTCCCTGATTCCCCGTAAGGTCAAATTGCACTTTTGAAGGCGGCGTTTTGTCATGGTTGGTATCAGTTTTTTAATGGTGCTCCAGGTGCTCCAGAACACAATGGACATTACTGAGCCAGTGTTCAATTCCATTTGAAAGGGCACCCCTTTGATGGAGACAGTCAATTGGATCTTCTTTTTGATAGTATGGCAAGATTGCCAATTGATTGATTCAGAGCTGGGAGCCTGGCGGAGAATCACGTGGCAGTCATCTCCCGGTTTGGGCAATTTGGCAGGCAACCATTGTGGATGCTGGGTTTTAGCAGGCAGAGCTGTTTATTGGCCGAGAAGCATGGCATACTCTGGCAATATGCCCTTTTCAGCCACAACACTGGCAAGACGTTTGTCTAAACCTGCAGTCAGCTCTTATGTGGTTGCCTCCACAACCCATACAGACAGGTTTAAACGGACCCTTGCCGCTAGGCCAGCTCTTTTTTTGCTTCATTAAGGCGATTAATGTCATCAGTCTCCTCAGGCTCTGACTCTTCACTCACACCCCCTTGATAGACTGAGGCCACGTTTGAGATCAGGAACCTGTTGTCGGTTGGTGACAGCAGGTTCCGCTGAATAGCCGCCAGCGATTGCATTGCTAATTCCGCTGCGCGGGCTTCATCTAATGCAAATTGAAATGACAGGTCAGGCTTTGCCAACAGCCACCTCTGCAGCTGCAGATCACTCACGCCACATACCAGCCGGTCAAGTAAGGCGTCGTCTAAGTCTTTAAACTCGCAATGGAGTGCCGCTGCTCTCAGGGCTGCCATGTACTGGTTTATTGACTCGCCTTCAGCTTGGCTCCTGCGGTGGAAGGCATGTTGGCGGGCTATTTTGGACAGCGATGGCGCGTAATGGCTCTTGAACTTGGTCATCAATAGCTCCCATGGCACTGATTTGATTGGTGCTGGTGCTGTAAGGTCCCTTGCGGTGTCGAATGTCTCTGGGCCACAGACTGACAAGAAGTAGGCACATTTTCTCTCATCTGTTAACTTTGTAAAATTATGTGTGACCAGGAAGCATTCGAATCATATTATGTACGATTCCCAGGTCTCAGAACCCTGGCTGAAAGGCGTGAACATTAAGGTGGCCATTCCTGTCAGGAGCCGGTCGCAACGTCTCATCGCAAGTGACAGAGCTCAGTTTCAGTTAGTGACTTCGGCTAGCGACGTTCAGCTCAATAGTGACCAGCTATCTCTGAAACCTCAGTTCGGCGATCCCACCTTCGTCACCAATGTTCTGTACTGAGAACGATGGGTGGTTGCCGGAATAACTGAGGCGGAGATGGAATAAAGGCTAAGAAGTTTATTCCTTATAACGGTAACAAGCTAACAGAACAACCAGCTCGGAGACAGGCAACAGCTGAGGCTTCCATCTGACAGCTCCCTTTTATACTCCAAGCTGTCAGATGGCTAGCCAATCAGCTGTTGGCTTTCTCCCACCAATACACGAATATGGTGAGCATGCTCAGAATGTGACAGACACCATTCTCTGAAACAAGGGGCCAATGCAGTCCAAAAATCAGAGCTATATATGACCATTTATTTGTGCCAACCACAGAGCTCCCTGATGTGCTTGTCCCATTTTGGGGAGTAGCTTTAAGGGATGTGATGGCTCATGGCTAAAACACTGAGCTTGTCGATCAGAAAGGTCGGCAGCGCAGCGGTTCAAATCCTTAGTGACACATAACGGAGTGAGCTCCCGTTACTTGTCCCAGCTTCTGCCAACCTAGCAGTTCGAAAGCATGTAAAAATGCAAGTAGAAAAATAGGGGCCACCTTTGGTGNTCTTTCTTGAATTATGACTAGCTTCTGCCTCTCCTCTCTAAGGACTGGCCCAGCTACCTCAGCAATTTCAAGAAATTTAGAGGCAACTATTTTGCATGTAGCCTCAAGGAAGGAGTTTGCAATCCCAGTTAGTGGGCAAAACTCTGAAAGTTGTACTTCAGTACATTTTACAAAATGTCACCAATCTTATGAATACAGCTGTAGGATTGCATTGGTTTCTTTGTTATTACCATATCAGTAAGCTATCTAAATTGAAATAAATACAATAAAACTGAGCAATCGTTGTTTAAAAAATTAGGCAAGTTCTATGTAGTTCCAAATAAGGAACGGTTAATATAAGGATTCAGCTGAGTGTCAGGTTTTATTAGAGCTATTTAAGACTCTGCTGCCTGAAAATCCTCACTCTGTTATCTATGATCACTTATAAATCTCCAGAGATGTTGCTCAGGATCTCAATTCAGCTAGACTGGGATTCATCTCTCTTGAGCAAATCCACCAAGTAAGTTATACAATATCTAATCAACATATCTAATCTAATTATAAAAAATTAGATTAAATATCTAACAATAACTAATTTAATTGTAATGAAGAGCAACAAGGATGATTAGGGGGCTGGAGGCTAAAACTTACCAAGAATGGTTGCAGGAATTTGGTATGTCTAGTCTAGTGAAAAGGACTAGGGGAGATATGATAGCAATGTTCTAATATTTGAAGGACTACCACAAAGATGAGGGGGTCAACCTATTTTCCAAAGCACCAGAAGGCAAGACAAGAAACAATGGATGGAAACAAGGAGAGAAGCAACCTAGAACTAAGGAGAAATTTCCTAATGGTGAGAACAATTAACTAATAGAATGCCTTGCCTTTAGAAACTGTAGGTGCCTCATTGCTGGAGACTTTTAAGAAGAGACTGGACAGTCACTTGTGTGAAATGACATAGGGTCCCCTGCTGGAGCAGGGGGTTGGACTAGAACACCTCCAAGGTCCCTTCCAACTCTATTATTCTATGTTCTAATTCAAGAAAAAAGTCAAATTGGATAAAGAGAGTGTTCAAGAGGAAAAGGAAACATGTCCTGATGGGAAGACAGAAGAGATGACAAACACAGAATTAAGTCTGATAACACATATAACATCTATTTTGTTGATTTAGCCTTAAAGCGTTGGCCCTTACCGTATATGTCCAGTCTAGCAGTGCAAGAGACAATACCGGCTTCATTTTTTGCAGACAAAGTGTACCAACCAGCATCTACTTTTTTGGCAGGCTGAATCAAAAGGCAAACATATCCTGTAGCATCTTGGTGCATACTAAGAAGAAATAAAATGATTTCAGTGTCATTTGTAACATACTAGAGGATTTTAGCAAAATCATTCAAGGAAACAACAGAAACATGATATTTATACTCCCTCCTTCTTCCTCCCTCCCTCTCTCCCCTTCTCTCTCTTAACTTGTGTGTGTGTGTGTGCGCGCGTGCGCATGCGTGTGTGTTTATGCAGAGAAGGACTTGCTTCGTGATCAATCCCCTTGGAGTTTTGCAATGGAAGATTTCAAGGATTCTTGAACTATTTGACCAAGTTCTCATTTCAAACAAGTTTGCTCATTGTGTACAGTCAATAACAGCTGTAATTTTAAGTAACACCGATATATTTTAAATCTTTTCAATCCACTGTAGTTTACAAAATCTTGCATACTTGATTTTTGTCCTCCTATAATGTAGGACTTTGCAGTTGATCTGTAGTAATCCATAAAAGCTCTACCTACTCTTGGGGATTCTGCATTTCAGTAGAGTGATTTTTTCCCCCAGATAAAGGAATGTTTATTACTATATGCAGTACATACCCTGAAAGCATTTAATTGTGCTTTATAGGAAGAGACATGGGGAGAAATCATATTTAAATGTTTCAGAAGTTGACTGCGAACTGTTTCAAGAATTATGCATGCTAAAAGATGCTACATTAGGGATGCCAAACTCATTTTCATTGATGGCTGCATCAGGGTTGTGTTTGACCTTGTGGGGCCAGGGTGGGCATGGCCAGGCCAGCTCAACATCACTTGCATTGCAGGCACCTGCATTGGCCCGAATACTCGGCCAGAGAAAACAGGCTCCTGAGCTCCATTTTTGCCTACAACAGCCTCCTGCAAGCCTCTGCCAGCAAAAATGGAGCTCGAGAGGGCTGCATCTCCATTTTTGCTGGCAGAGACACTGTGGGCTGGACCCTCACTGTTTCCAGGGTGGCCCCATGGGCCAGATTCGGCCTCCAGGTGAGTTTGACAGCCCTGTGCTACAAGTTCCATGCAAATAAATTAAATCTCACATCTCACATTTTTAGACAATCAAAAAGCAGTTTCCAAAAACCCCATGCTCACCTCATCCTCTCCCTGTGGGGAGGAATGGTTTCATTGTCCTTCTTCCAGAAGAATATTGGAGGTGGCATCCCAATTACCCTACATTCTAATCGGACAGGATGTCCTTCTGGCACACCACAGTTCTGTAGTCTCTCTAGTATCACTGGGGCTTTTTTAACTTCCTTTTCTGCAAAAGAAGGAAGGAAAGGTGGATTTATACATTTATTTGATTGATTGAAATTGTTCAAAACAGTTTCTGGAAGATTCTAAAAACTTATGCGTGTGGCAGGGGTGTCTGCAGTATGAGGCTGTGTATCTGTGTGTGTTTAAAAAGTCCAGGATGGCTGTAAGTATATAATCAAGGCCCGCCCATTTTTTCATATGTTGTCCCTAATTGGCCAAACCCAACATTTCAAATAAAGACATCCAGTTTATTCAGGGTGCAACTTGACCCTATAAACTCTATAGGGTCTTCCTGGAATCCTACCTCCTTGCCAGCTCTTCAAGGAAGACCAGGTCAAGAAACAGACAATAGGAATACTATATATATTTATATATATAAATGGCTGTGTTTGTGCATGAATGTTCCAGCATGACTCTGGAATGCCTCGAACAATTTCAACCAAACTTGGTACACAGATAACTTACTCTCTGGAAACAAATACTGTGGCAGTAAGACACCCCTCGATGTGTGTGTGTGTGTGTGTGTGTGTGTATTCCAGCATAATGCCTGAGCCACTGAAATGAAAAGAAATGAATTATAGCTATAGTGTCAAACTACAGTTCTTTTGACAGTGATAGTGTACATTAGTGTGATAGTGTTAGGATGCAGCCTGTTGTGCCTTAAGATGGCGTCTACTGTATAGCACAGTGGAGTTGCCATGGTAACGGCTTCACGGTACTCCACAAGGGGGCTCCAACCTAATACAGAATTGGGATAAATAAATACCCAGGCAACACCGGGTTATCGGCTAATAAGGGTTTTGAAAGCCTATCCAAAAATCTTCATTGCCCAATTTTTAAGACCATGATGTCAAGGCAGGTCCCCTCTGCATCTCTTTCCCATGCTTTCTTCTTTCCAAGGTCTGAGCAACCCCTTTTTTTCTTTGACCTCATTCTGAAGGCCAGTGTTAAATTCCGCTATACTCCACATTATTCAGAGGCTGTGCTTTTTCTACTGGAAAAGATATGGAGCACTGTAAATATCTATGTCAATATTCCAGATGTTTTGGCCACCTTAACAACTGTTCTCCCCAGAGCTGGATGACATAAGGATTTGGGGTTTGGCCAATGACATCCAATCTACTGCAAAGAAACTCTGGCTCTTGAATTCAATCAAGCTCCCCATTCATGGTACACAATTTATTAAGATAATGAACACGTTAGAGCGTTTGCAGTGTGACTATTATTAGAAGACAACGCAAGAGCAAAACACAGCACACCAAGACTTAGACATTTAACAGAGGTTTATATACAACACATACAAAAATATGTGTGGTAGTAAATACCTGACAAGCAATCAATCTTTTTATTAACTCTACACAGAGAACTTAGCAAGGGATACCGGACACAAGGAGAGAGATACATAAAGAGAGAGAGATACGCGCTCTCATGGCCTCCTTTATATAGACAGCTTCTTAAGGTGGCAATAACCTGGCTTCTTAAAGCAGCAATACTTCTGCTGACTCATCCTCATTTCATCATCTTAATTTACAGGCTTACAGTGGATGGTCAGCTTTAAATCATCATTACCGTGACAGAACATTTTCATATGATTCAACTTTCAGTCACAGGGGTTCTAGTTCATGAAGTACACAAATGATGTAATGCTCAGGATGGGTGAAGAAGAACATCTAATAAAGACTTGCCTACAACAGACAGTTCCAAGCTGAAGGAATTTTGCCCTGTTTTGTTGGTGGCTATGCAAGTGTAGATTCCAGCATCACTTTGTCTGAGAGGATCGATAAGTAAAGAATGTACTCCATTTTCTCTGATCAGCATTTTGTGAGTGGCATCTGGTAACACAGGCTTGCCATTCCGGAGCCACATCAGATCTGGCAGTGGTAAGCCACTTACCTAACAGAGGAGAAAACAGTCGTAAGCAAGTGACATATTTTTTCATATTAGTGACATCCATTCCAAATTCATTGTTCTTGTAGAACAAATGATGTATGAAAACCAGAGAAAAGAAATCATGTTATAGGCCTGCATCATGGGGAATCATAATTGGTTGTATAAGCCTTAATTAACCATGGTTTATTAAACAACCGTTGGCTTGGATACAAATGCACCAAACCAACCTCAAGCCTGCTCCCTGTGATGTGCAAACTGAATGTCAAAGAAAAACACAATTCAAGGCCTACATTAAATGTTAAACCTTAAAATAAAGATAAACACATGCATCATCTAACAGCTGGAACCTGTGTTAATGACAGTCACCAATGGGTGTTTTTCATGGCAGCGTCTTGATGAAAGAAATGTCCTTCTGGGTTCAGCTCCAAGTGGGGAAAAAGACACTGGAGACATGGAGGCTACTTGGAAAGATGGTTTATTGTTGGACAGGGCCACATGGCTTGAGCCCTGAACAGAAAAGGTGATCACATGCTTCAATGTTGGTGGAGAAGAAGAGAAGGGCTGAGTGAGGGGCTTTTCTAGGCTTTTTATAACCTGTTCAGTCCCACCTCTCTGTTTAGTTTAGTTTAGTTTAGTTTAGTTTAG